AATACTGTATAATGCTACCTTTGTAAATTGAGACTGAATTGGGGTTGGGGGGGAAACTGAAAAAAGAGGAGATAAATAATGTATACTGCATTGAAACAGATGAGGGAGAGAACTGTTTAGGAGGAATATATGATTAGGTATTTTTGTCATAACAAGAGTCCAGAATGAAAGCTGCATAGTGGAGTGGACTGGGGGTTAGGAGTATATAACAATGAAATAATTTTTTTCTTACTTTTAAAAGAGAAAAGTGAACTGGGGTAGAGGGGTGAACAGGAGGAAAGTATGCAATAATGCATGAATGGAAATCCAAAGTCTCGGTAAACTTACATTAAAATTAATTTAAGAAGAAAAGAATCACTCATAAAATTTAAAACATCATATAGAAATTTAGATAGGCTGTGACCTTAACAAAAAAAAGATTGGAGAAAGACTCCTCAATAATCTTCATTATGCATATGGCTTATTTGCTGAAAGTGAAGAGGACTTGAGTCATTTCCTGCAGAAAATTAAAGATTACAGCTGTCAATATGTATTGCATCTCAAGCATCAAGAAAACACCACTGGATAGAGAAAAAATTTAAACTGTCATCAACATCATCTACAATTAATACACTTGATACCAGCAGTTAGGAGACAAATTGCGCTGAATAAGCCTGTAGTCAGAGCCCTCTTCAAATACCTTTTCAATCTATGTGCAGAACAGATCATTCTGGAGGCTAGGCTTTATGAAGAGGAATGTGGTATCAAATTTGGAGGAAGACTTATAAACAGCCTTTATTCTGCGAATGACACAACCTTGCTGGCTGAAACTGAGGAGGACCTAAAGCACTTGATGCAGAAGGTCAAGGACTGTCTTCAATATAGATTGAAGCTTAACATCAAGAAGACGAAGATTCTCACCACTGGGCCAGTTGACAGCACCATGATAGATGGAGAAAAGATTGAGGTTGTTAAGAATTACAGCTTGTTAGGCTCCACTGTCAACACTCTTAACGTTGTTGCTGTTGTTGTTATGTGCTGTCGAGTCGTTTGCGACTCATAGCG